CTCGAGATTTGTTTATAGTGGTTGTGCTCTTTTTGGAAAGGATAGTGGGTATTTTTACACCTTCACTCTATATATTATGGCTGCCAACGACAACAATGATGTTACTGTTGGTCACTGTTGTTCCTATATCTACATGGTATTCCTTAATCCAATCTACATGGATTTGTCTAATCCCAAATAACAAGCAATCCGTCAAACTCAACACTCTTTTTAATGGGTTTTCTTAATGCCAATCTCAATTCTTATCTCTTATTATCAATACTTCGTGTCAAATTGTATCTAAGATTTTTCAATTGTTGGAATTGAAGTACAGTAAGAATAGAGAACTGAGAGGGGGGTTATGTCCACGGTAGACGGACTGAAATTGTGAGGCCGAGCAGGTAGCGGATGATGGATATGAGTTTTTTTTTTTATTATTCAAAGAAAAGAAAACAACAATAAAGCAAATGATTACATCAGAGAAGATTGAGAAACCCAACATGAAGGCTTGAAACAAGCGTCAAAGACGCCGGAAAGCATAGAGGGGGCGCTTGGAATTTCCCCTGGCCACTTGTGCTTGATAAAATATATCATGTACATATTATTTTATCGTACCTTTTGAATAAAAAATATTAGTTACTAATAATATTTACTAACATGAGAAAATTAAATAGAAATACATGTTAATATATTAATTTACATCCATAGACTTGGAATAGGATGGAGGAGAATCACAAGGATAAGCTCATATAATTAAGGTTGCAAAGGAAGGTTTGGTGCACAAATTCCAACAGAAAGGCGACAAGGTAATAGTAAAGCAATACCAAGGCCTGGGAGTCATCTACGGGCCCGTTTGATTAATTTTAATTATTTTGTTCGATGAAACTTGACTATGTTATTGTAAAAGGGGAAAAGAATCTTGGCTCCGTTAATCGTTGTGTTTTGTGACAGGTTTCAAGATGCAAGTAGTTTGTGGTAGATTAAGAAGAGAAGGCAAAGCATAAGGGACTGGATTTTTATTTTTGGAGGGATATTTTGGACTTTTCCTTGTTTTTCAATTTAATCAATTTACAAAAATATTTTTCCCCAATCCTTTTTATGGCATACCAAACAAACACTTGAAAAGAAGCGGTGATACAGAGGATTATGAGATCCAAGACAAATACCAAATATCAGGGATAATTATTTTACATTATATATACATAATAGCAAGAAAAATAAATATTATCGGCCATTTTTTAATTTAAAAAATAAAGGAAAACCAGCCACCATGTCGTTATTTTTATCAACTTAAAATTAGTGTTTTTGTATTTTAAGAGACAACTCGTTACAAATTTATTTTGGAGCCCCCTTCCCAACCATGAAGTCTCTTTTATGGGTCAATCGTGGTAGGTCTATTAATGGTGATATTTTTTTTTTTGCTAATGACAGTATTGGGCTCACATGGTCCAATAAGAGGAACCCATACTACATTAAATATTAGAGTTACTAAGCCCATAGAGGCCCAAAGTTTCCGAGCCCTTAGGTCAAAGAGAGAGAATGGTGCAACGGCAAGTTAGGGCTTTCTGAAAGTCCAATCAGGGGCGTTGGCCTCTCTCTCTCTCTCTCTCTCTCTCTCTGTGTGTGCCCGCGCGCTCCCCAGGAAAAGAAAAATGGGCTGAAATTTCCAAGAAACTGAGGAGCAAGGACAAAAGGCTTGACTTTTAGAATGAAAGAGATGGATAAAGAAAAGGGAAATAGCATGAAGTTTCTTGCGGTCTCTTAACTTGTGACCTCGTCTTGATCAAGTACTACGTCTGATTTTTAATACAAGATTTTATTTAATTTTTATTTTAATCATAAATATAAGATTCCAATTCGTTTTGTCTCTCATATTTATATATTTTTTTCCAAGGTAATCCTTCTAATAATGGTAGTTTTAACCAATATACTTGATTAGTAATGATATTGTAGGAAAGACAACACCTATTTATTACAAATAACTAATTTAACTAATTTTTTTAATCTCCTCAAATTAATAAACCAGGTCTTATAATTGGGACCGGAGATAGTATTAAACATACCTTACCCAATGACGTCATCTTCATGCCTACTGGCTAGGCTACTAGTTGTTTGTCTTTTTAGGGTTGTGTTAAATAACAATATTCATTTTAACGAATTCTTCTTTCAAGACCCTACGAACCATCAAAAACGGCCTAAGTAATTGATTGATTAACCCAGTAAGTAATCTATCGCCAACATTTTCTGCTTTAACTTAGCTGTCTATTGCTTGTTGCTAGCATATAGGTCCTATTTGGTACAAAACATTAAAAATAAGGGATAGAAACTGATATTGCAATTGAAAAAAATCATTAAAAAATATTTAGTATGAGTAATTACTTGTTAGATGGGATTTAAACAAACCCATTAATTAAGGTAGGATTGGAGAATATCACCTTCTCTCATAGTATTCTTCAATCTCACGTATATGGGTTTGTCCAATTCTATATAATAAGAAATCTTCCATGTTAAATATTTTTTTAATAGATTTTCTCAATCTAAATACTAATTTCTATTATTTATTTTTAATATTTCGTACCAAACAGGTCATAGAATAATAATTAGCCCATTATTAAGATGTGTACGTGTGGCTCATGCCAAGGACTTGTGTGCTTGAATCTATGGGTTTTGAGAAGACTCTTGTGTGTGAACCTTGAATTCTGGAGGAGTAGTCGATGGCTGCATGCTCCTGCAACTATATAGATTTTTCGTCATCGATCACTTTCATTTTCCAAGTAAATTGCTTCGAAGCTTCCATGAGCATGACGTTTCGGCTTTATTTGCTGAACTTTGTTGTCAAGTTTCAATATTTATTGTGATATGCACGTAAATTGAACTAGAGCAGCATGACGTATATAATTGATGGTTTTATATATGAAAGTCGGTAAAATAGTTTGAAAACGGTTAGGGTTAGTTAAGTCGGTACGTAGCACTTGATCAGCGGCATATAGTCTGAAGGTCCGGACTAAATGAATATGACATCTATAGTTTCAAAAATTTAAGTGTTTTTAATAATATGTAATACTCCTCCGGTCCTTAATATAAGACCTATTTAATTAATTTGATTAGATTAAGGAAGTTAGATAAGTTAGTTAATTATAAGAAATGTGACACATTTGTCCTAAAACACCATAATTATCTTTCTTAATACCTCCTCTCCCTCTTTTATTTGATTATGGTTGAGGGAGTATCTGTAGGGATAATTTAGAAAAAATTAATAAATATGGAAAATAGGTCTTATATTTGGACTAAAATCAATTCAATAATTAGGTCCTATATTAAGGACCGGAGGAGTATGAAAAAGGCTAAACAAATTAGGAGATAAAATTACTATATATTAATTTTACTATATAAAATTATTCATATCAAAATTTTATAAGTCAGACTACGCATTCAACTATAAAGGCCAGTAATTTACGGTTCTCATGATCCAAATCGGGCTAGCCAAACAATCAAATTGGTGGCACAAAAGTTGAATTAAAAATAATTATGATCATATAATATATATGTATATATATAAAGAAATAAATTCATAATAAATTTAATTGTTAACATAATAACACCTCAACATATGCAATTTTCATTAATATAACACCATATAGATACAAATGGTTTGAAAATATATGTGCCTTTGAGGGGGTCATTTTGTTAATTTTTCCTATATTTTTTTTGGTTCAATTTTCTCTGTAATATATGTCTTCTATCACACTCAAATATCGTCCAATTCCTTCAAATTCTTTTCAGTTTTTTGGTCTAATTCCGAATTCCAACTAAAAGTCTGCTCAACCATGAAAATGATTGGCTAGCCCAAACGGAGTTGCTAACGAGTTCAGAAAAGTCACATCGTTCAATCCAATGGAGTTCTTTGATCATTGGCTACCTACTTTTATTTTTTTACCAGCATTGGCTCATATCTATTATCAACTATATATTATGCACCAACTTAGTATGAAGTTCACGTACGGGTAAATTCTATATCAACTTTCATAGTTCCTTACATGCACCTTACTCTAATTATATATTAACAAGAAACTGTTGAAACGTAAAGCCTTCATAAAATTCATATCTACTATACTTGTATACTTGTGTGTGCGCGCGCGCGCGCGTCTCAAGTTCACGTCTGTAAATTTTATCTCAACTTTCATGGTTTATGTGCGAGCGCGCGAAAGTAGTAGGAAATTACAAGACTCAGATAAATGTAGCTTGTCGATCTTCCCTCCCATGCATTATTTTTCAGTGGTCACTCTGGTTATAATATTGTTATTGTAGTGAAGAAATAACGAATTGTTTCATTATAGAAAATATGTTATGCTTAAAATATTTGTCTTATCTTTCAAGGTAATGTCATTGAGATTAATAAATATTTTAAAGTTTAGATATGTAGAGTGATAAAGTGACATATGGACTATAGTGTTGGAGTCATCCGTATATAATAATTGTTTATGTTAATAGTAAAAATTAAAAATGGTATTTCACTGGTTATTTATCAATTATATGTAAAATAATTGTACAAAATTCAAAATGTGCTTTAAAAAAATTAAACAAAAATTAAATTATTAAGCTTGCAACTTAGAATTATAAACTTTATTTGATCAACTGGCCAGGGGATTTAATTCATTCATCTAATTGGACGACTTGATTTAGATTTTAATACCATAATTTTGATTTCTATGTGAAAGATAATGCTAATTTGATTTGTTAGAATGACTTTTAATTTTTTTTTCATTGAATATGGTAATTTTATATGATACCCTTTATCAATGGCAAGCGCAATGAATACCCAAAAATTCTGGGGCCTTATAGCCCAATGGCATATTAAATATTAATGCCTCTCACTTAAATCTTTTTAACCAAGGTCGTGAATTTGAACCCTTTATAAAAAAATATAATAGGTGGATAAGTTATGATTAACAACTGAAAGCTAAGTTGATATTATTATTGAACATAAATGAAAAAGAAAATAAAAGAAAGCCAACATGAAATCTACAATAAGGTCTCCATCAGCGGAACCGAAAATAGAAAGGGAGGGAAAAAAACTCATGTCCGAAATTAGCAATGAAGGAACACATTATGGTGATCATGGGTTTGGCTTATCATCTACGTCACAAAGCTCTGTTCCATAAGCTTCACAAACTCAGATCGATCAATGAGTCCATCTCCATTCAGATCAAAAGCACTAATCATTTTCCCACACTCTTCAAGATCTCTCTGCATTCCCAGACACTTCAACACTCTCTGCAAATCTTTTGCTTCTATGAAGCCATCTCCATTTTCATCGAACACCTCGAAGGCATCCCTCAACTCCTCGAAACTTGGTTCTTTCTCGAACAATGCTTCGACCTCTTCTTCCCCAATCTTCTCCCCTACCCTCTTCCCGTCTGATTCTGCACTGATCAGTCCCAATTCAACCATCACCATCATCACATCCTCTCTGCTCAATCTCACCTTGTTTGGACGACTCTGATCATTCTGGTTTCTGCAACTGGGTTTCACATCAGTTCTAGATGATGATGATGATGATGTCCAGGAGTTGCAGAGAGATTGGAAGTGGTAAAAGATAAAAGAGAGGAAACCCTTTGTTTTGAAGAGTCCATGAGAGAGAAAGAGCTGAAGAATATTGCTGTTTCTGATAATTTTCTCCATTTTTTTTTTGAAGGGTTATGCAGAGTTAGAGCTCACTTGTGTGACTGATGGAGAAACTCTGGAGTTTATTTATAGGCACAGATGGATTTTGGCTTCAAGTTGAAGAGTCAATGACTTATTTGAAGGGGGAATGAGACATTGCCGATGGATTTCCAGGAAAGAAACAGAAGAAAAGAAAACGTACATGAGACCGACAGGCCCGTGAATAATCACTTGTCAGAGGACCACAGATAATATATATATATATATATATATATATGTATGTATACACACCCACGTAAGTTGATTTTGTTAATTAAGCGGGGCAATTTTCGGTGAAACTCAGGGAGACCTTAGCGAAGACTTCGACGAACTGTATTTTAGAATCTGATAAAGATGGAGACGAATTCTTAACAGCGTGTGTATATGCAAAACGACTATATGCAGTTTTTTGTCTTTTGGGATTACATGCATAGGATAAATGAAACACTTTAAGGAGCTGCGGGATCAAATCCGTACAAATCTAAAAACGCTTGTAAAGTTTGTGGAATGAAAATAACACAACAAAGATGAAAAATTGTAAGTATTTTTTCTTTGGCAAATTCACTTCCTTTTCTTTTCTTTGTCTTGCAATAACATTACAGATAAAAAAAATTTCTAAAAGATCCAAATTTAACAATAACATAACTTTTTTTTTTTTAATCGTTATGAGATTCTCAGCGCACGGCTTGGCAATTTCTTAACCAGTAAAGTGAAAGCATCGGATGCTAGTGTGACTATATATCTGACTGACCGAAAAATATATGGAAATAAATTAGAAGCATGGATATAATGATGAAATCATATGGACTGCAAATCATAAGCTAGCAATCTTTTACGAGAGTCACGCGCGGAAATTTCTTGGAAAAAGCTTTTGTTCAATCTTGCTGGTGGATTTGGAAATCTTGCTACAACGTAACTATGAGATCTTTTTTAGTGGCCGTCTTGGATAAATAAAGAATAACTAGGAAGAGTGTACTGGCTTGGATTCATACGCAAGAGAAAATAATGAGAATGAAGGAGAGAAAATCTGAAAACTCAGTGGTTGCAACGAGTTGAACTGGTGGATATGGAAGCCTTTATTTATAGTGTTAGACAGAAATATTTTGGGAAAGCAAAATATCCGCTATATCCATCAATTTAGATATATCCTTTTTATCTCAATCAATAAGGTTATGATTTAAATTAAAAAATAATTTAAATCTTTATAATATATTCTCAATATCGGTTTATTTTGGATTAAATTCTAATTTAATCCATATATATCCATTTAATATATATAGATTATCTGGACAATACAAATTAGGTCACTTATTTTATTCATATTACATTTAATCAGGTGGTTAATCTAATTAATTGACCCAGTCAACCAAAATATAATCTCAATTGATTATTTAATTTAATTTAATTGGGATATTCTCTACTTTTCCAATCGAATAGTCCGGTCCATCAAGAGTGGGTTTGGATCCAAAGTCCAACGGGTTGTATACGTAAGACTTAAAAAATGGTATTCATGAGAAATGTGTTCAAAAAGAGATAAAAAGGGCAAACATGAGGATACCTAATTAATCCCTAAACCTTATTAATGATTTGAAGGGGAAGGAAGGAAAATTTTTTAACAAATTCAATTAAAAAGAATAACTACGAATGAAAATTTTTCAAAAGAGAGATGTATTAAAAAAAAAAGGTAAGGAGAATTACTTAAAATCTCATTAACTGGTTTTAATAAATTGATTGCAAATTATATGACAAAGAGTGATCAAGTTGAAATTATACAAAAGAGCATTAAGGAATTTGGGTGTTTTAATCCTTTTTTAGTATCTTTTGTAAAAGAATCTTAAACAGTTTAGTTCTCACAGAAACAACAAAATTCCTGTAATAGTTATGTGGTAGCGGTTACCTAAAATTGCTACTAAATTATAAATTAGTTGTAATATGTTTTGGGTCAAACTGCTATGGAGCACCAAATGGCACCACCATTATTAGAGAGAATGGTAGCAATTTGGATAGAAAACGGCAAAACCTGTAGTCGGGGTAGTAGCCAGAGGAATTTTTGTATGAACTTGGAGTGCCACATCAATTGCGGTCTAACCAATCAAAAAATAACACCTCAATAAATTTTAATCTTGGCTGGCATCCTAGCTAGCTGATCAATAACTTTTGAATGAAATTTTTTTTCATTTCGACATCTAAAATTAAAGGGAAACAAAGGGGAAACCCACACCACAGCGAATGGGTTTGGTGAGCAACTAAGTGACGGCAAAGAGCGAGCAAGAAAGCGAAAGAGTTGTCGGCGGATAGGTTGGAGATCAGAGATCATGGTAATTGTACTAGTGAGACGTCATCAATTTAAGGCTGGTTTTGGAACTAGGGCTTCTGATATTAGGATTTGTTCATAATGTCATTGATTTGTGGTCTTCAATCGGTGGGTTATTAATTATGTTTATTGGCAATTTCTTTTTTTTTTTGAAAGAAAAGCTGAATAACATTACTCAAAACAATAAAAGATTACAACGTAACTCTTTTATCACTCTTCACTCCTGGGCACAGACACTACAATGAGAGAATTTAGTGATGGAATTTTAATCCGTTACTAATCCATCACAAATTCTGTCACTAAAATTAGTGATGAAATTTAGTGATGGAAAATTTCTGTCACCAAATTAGTGATAAATTTTTATTCCGTTACAAATCTATCACTGATTCTGCTGTAAAATGATTAGTGATAGAATTTAGTGACAATTTTTCCATCACCAACTCCCATCACAAAATATTTCGTGATGGCATTAGTGACAAAATTTTTTGGTCAATAATTTCCGTCACAATTCCTCCACTAATTCGTCACAAAAAATATAATATAAATATATAACAAATTATTAATATTTATTATACAAATAAAAATATAATATATCATAATTTTTAAATAATATATTATAAAAATAAAAAATACAAATATTATAAAAGAAACTAAAAATAAAAAATATAATATGCTTTTCTTGTGTTAAATGTTTGAATAAAAATAGTCAATATTAGAAATTTTTTACTAAAATACAAAAAATAAATTAAAATAAATAATAATGTATTAAATTATATAATATATATTAAATTTATATAATATTTATTATCTATATTTTATTTTTTATTAGAAATATTATATATTTATTTTTGTGTAAAAATTTTATAGGTGTTTCTCAGTCCAACTGGCAAAGGATCTGAAAACATCCTTCCTTAAACCCCTTTTTGTATGCATTTGGAAGCGTTATTGTTCAAGTGATTTATGAAACAAGCTTGTAGATTGAAAACTTACATTTAGTTACTTAGGGTTATTGTTCACCAGAAAAATCTAGATTTTAGGTCCAAATTTAAAAATTCATAATTAATTCAAAAAATTCAAAATGAGGTGGTTCAATTTCTTTTAAAGGTCTTTCACTCTTCTATAGGGAAAAAATATTTATTAGTTCAATTTCTTGCCCAATTTGTATAGCAAATTACTTGAATTTTACTGTTCATTTGGTAAATTTTCCAATTTCTATGATTTTTGCCTAACTTTAGGTAGGCATAATGTTTCGTACAAAATTCCAATTTGAGTGATCTACCACTCATCTTAAAGCTTAAAATGAGATCTATAAGTCTGCCAAATTTCATGACTAGACTCCTCCATTTGCCCATATTAATGTGATCACCAAGTTTACTGCACATTTAAGGATACTTTATCCTATACTTGCGATAGTATTTCATAATAAATTCAATACATATGCAATACTAATCCAACATTGCATTACTCATTATTTATCATTATAGTACCATCATACATACCATATAATGTTATTTCCAATAGTGTCCAATATGTCACTAATCGGCACATATAATATCATAATAACATTAATATAACGCACTATTTCACTTTTCTTCCCTTTTTTCTCTGTTCTCATCCAAGCATTGTTTTCCCATGAGCATAAACCTATTATGTTTGGTTAAAAAAGGGTGAGATTTGAGAGAATCTTAGTAGTAAACATTACTCAAATGGATACAAGACAAATGCAAGTGTATGACATGCTTGGTTTCATATACTTTCATGCTCTAAAAATAACATGTCAATGTGCTCAACATTGCATACATGCATGGCCATGAATTAAACAAAACATAGAGTGACACTTAAGCATTCATGCTTTCAAATCATCATCAAATGTCATCAAAATACAAGCATACATATCAAGCATTCAAGAGGGTAAGCTTACTATCTTGTAACCTTTAAGTTTTCCTCTTGCTCCTTTTGCTTCCCGTCATCAAAATTGCTTGATCAACCTTGTCATTCATCTCTCTTAGTGTCTCATGGCCTTAATTAACGTTAACACATAATGCCAATCACTTATTAGAGGCATGATCACAAGTAACATAATAGTTTGCTTAAGCTATAATGTCTCCTAACTTTTAAACTTGATTTTCAATCTTTTTAAAATTAATTTCACATGTTATTACCCCATAATGTTACATGTAGAATCCATTTCTAAGCTTAAAATTAAAATAATCTAACTCCTTCCCTATGAACAAGCCTTGGCCAAAACTATAGGGTTTTAGGGCAAAAATTCTATTTTTAATTCTAATGCTTCCAAACTTGTTTTTTTAACCTTTTTCCCACATAATTTTTTTTATTCTAAACACATTGGAAGTATCAAAATCATCAAAATCCAACCCTAACATGAACCTTAAGTCTGGCTGAAAATTATGCAAAGTTAGGGGAAGTTGGATTAATTCAATTTCAACATAAAACCACTTGATTCTTATTCTTTCCTATCCTTTAAACATAGTTATAGTATCAATAAATCGTTTTCATGGGTTAAACCCATTTGGACAGTATCTCCACTTGGTGTTTCAAGCTCCCAAAATCTATCAAAACCATGGCTAAAGCTATCAATTCATAAAGCATCATAAACTAGGAGAAAATCTATGATCTTACCTTGATTTAGCACTTGATTTCACCT